CTCGGTGTGTGGCCTGGTTATTTGGGACCTGGGTGTGGAGGGAGATGGGCATAGGGATGGATGAGTCAGGTAGAGTCAGATCCTTCTTCCCTCCAAACCAGAGTAGTTAGAGTGGCCTGAAAAATGGACCGTGGAGGTAACTGGCATATCAAGGAACTAGAGTTGGTGAAGATGGCCTGTGAAGAGCTGGAGCTCTGTCCAAAGTCATGACAGGCCACAAAGAGGAGGCTGGAACCCGTATGGACCCTGCAAACTTAGTCCAGCTCTGATCCCCACCCCGGGCTGTCTCAGTCCTGTTGGGTAGCACAACAGGCCCTAAAGGGAAATGGAGAGGAAACTTTCTTCATTCATGTTCATGGAGTTGTGGACAGAGCGAGGCTCTGGGAATGATCTTTACAGAGGTTTGCCGATAAGAAATGCTGTGTGAATATACACTGGGTTTCTTTATATCCTCTTTTTTTTTTTTTTTTTTTTTTGAGATGGAGTCTTGCCCTGTCGCTTAGGCTGGAGTGCAGTGGCGTGATCTCTGCTCACTGCAACCTCCGCCTTCCGGGTTCAAGCGATTCTCCTGCCTCAGCCTCCTGAGTAGCTGGGATTATGGGTCCCAGGACTACACACCACCACAGCCGGCTAATTTTTGTATGTTTAGTAGAGATGGGATTTAACCATGTCGGCCAGGATGGTCTCAATCTCCTGATCTTATGATCCACCCACCGTGGCCTCCCAAAGTGCTGGGATTACAGGTATGAGCCACAGTGCCTGGTCTCTATTTTTTTTTTGAGATGGAGTTTCACCCTTTCGTCTAGGCTGGAGGGTGGTGGTACAATCTTGGCTCACACCCCACAGCCCACCCAACTCCAGTTCAAGCAGTTATCCTGCCTCAGCCTCTTGAGTAGCTGGGATTACAGGCACCCACCACCACGTCTGGCCAATCTTTGTATTTTTACTAGAGACGGGGTTTTTCCATGTTGGCCAGGCTGGTCTTGAACTCCTGACCTCTGGTGATTCACCCACCTGGGCCTCCCACAGTGCTAGGATTATAGGCTTGAGTGACCGCACCTGGCCTTCATGACCTATCTCTGTGGGAAAGATCTGAGGCAGCTTTGCAAATAATGAGGGTAGGAAAATAACCTGAATGCCAAAGATTAAAACAGGAGAAACAAATACTAGCTATGAGGGTAAACGTGATCTCTGAGTTTCCTGATTGCAATGGCAAAAAGGGGAAATGGTCGATTACCTAGTTCTTTAGTATAAGGGAGAAAGAATTTTAGTTTCTTTAGGGAATCAGATTTTCCTGGCCCTCAGTCCTAACTGAAGCTTCTCAGATCCTGCTGTAGGGAATGATGACTCTCAGCCTTCTGCCTTCTTCATGTGTTTGGCAAGCTCCCAGCAGGAAGGTCTCAGCTGTGGCACAGATGAGCCTTTGGGGGCCACCTGCTGGGGTACCATTCCCTTCTCTCTCTCATTCTCAGGGGCTCCAGTGGGTAAGGCTGAGGAAGAAGGCCCTAAGAGTTGTGGAGGTTTAATCCCAAATAGTGCGAAAAGGCATTTTTTGTAGCCAACCCTGACTAAAGTTGAGAGTTTCATGCAATAGACCAAGCCAGGGGTTGTGATTCTGTGGAGGGCATGGCCGCCCAAGCCTCAACTAGTCCAGGAATAGAGGCAGAGATAGCTGAAGGGGTGTCACTTCAACCAGTAGCCATGGGTTGCCCTGCAGGATTTTCTATTCAGGACCGAGTCCAACAGGATCCTGGTGATGGGGACCAGGGGTCTGCATTTCTGGGAAGCTCTCGGGTGATTTAGATGTCTTGCTGGGTGGAGGAGCACTGCTTCAGAGGATGTTTTTCAAATAATCCTTCTCTTAGCTTGGTTCTTTGTAATAGCAGATGGTTTGAGGCTGTGCTAATGTTCTCTACCGTGGGCTGAAGGGAGAAATTTAGGAGCTGAGGAAGGTATGTGCAGGTAATGTGTTTGTGTGTTAAACTGGAAGGGGTAGAATCACATAATTTGCATGCATTATGTTATTATTTGAGACAGAGTTTTGCTCTTGTTGCCCAGGCTGGAGTGCAATAGCACAATCTTGGCTCACCGCAACCTCCACCCTCTTTCTCAGCCTCTCAAGTAGCTGGGATTACAGGTGCATGCCACCACTTCCGGCTAATTTTTTTCTATTTAATAGAGATGGGGTTTCACTGTATTGGTCAGACTGGTCTCGAACTCCTGACCTCAGGTGATCCACCCACCTTAGTCTCCCAAAGTGCTAGGATAACAGGCATGAGCCACTGCACCTGGCCTGCATACATTATTTTGTAAATCATAATTAATACACCTACCTGACAAAAATTTAAATAAATACAGAAGTATATGTTATTTAAAAAAAGTTTCCTCCCTGTTTCACTCCACATATGATTCCTCAGGGGAAGCATGGTTGCAGCTGGCACTATATTCCTCCAAGTCCATGGAGATCACTTCCCTGGCCGCTTGAGGAGGCGGTGTAATTTAGTGGACTAGAGCCCTGGGCTCCCGAACAGATGTAGGTTCAAATCCTGCCTCCTCTTTTCCCGCACCCTTTTTATTTCTTTCAGCAAATACTTGAATGTTCCTTGAAATGAGGCAGTCAGTGTTCTAGATGTTGGGAAGGCAACGTCCCTGTCCTTAGGGAACTTTGGGTCCATCCAATGGGGATGACAGACTATAGGGAGTAAGTGAACACGGAATGTTTAGGACAGTGATGGATGCTATCAAGCAAAGAAATTGACAGCCCTTGTTAGTTTAGGCTGGACAGCCAGGGAGGCCCCTTGCAGCATCATTTGTGTTGAGGCCTGAATGATGAAAAAGACTGGGGTGGTGAGAGTGTGCCAACCAAGTAGAGAGAACAGTCTGGAAGGATAAATTCTTTTTTTTTTTTTTTTTTTTTTTTTTTTAAAGACAGAGTCTTGCTCTGTCACCCAGGCTGGAGTGCAATGGTGTGATCTTGGCTCACTGTAGCCTCTGCCTACCGGGTTCCAGTGATTCTCCTGCCTCAGCCTTCTGGGTAGCTGGGATTACAGGTGAATGCCACTACACCCAGCTAATTTTTCTTTTTGAGATGGAGTCTTGCTCTGTCACCTAGGCTGGGGTACAGCGGTGCAATCTCGGCCCACTGCAACCGCCACCTCCTGGGTTCAAGCAGTTCTGCTGCCTCAGCCTCCCAAGTAGCCGGGATTATAGGTGTGCGCCACCACGCTCGGCTAATTTTTTGTATTTTTAGTAGAGATGGGGTTTCACTGTGTTAGCCAGGGTGGTCTTGATCTCCTGACCTCGTGATAAGCCCACCTTGGCCTCCCGAAGTGTTGGGATTACAGGTGTGAGCCAATGCGCCTGGCCTGATTTTTGTATTTTTAGTAGAGATGGGGTTTCACCATGTTGGCCAGGCTAATGTCAAACTCCTGACCTCAGGTGATCTGCCCGCTGGCCTCCCAAAGTGCTGGGATTACAGGAGTGAGCCACCGCGTCTGGCCGGAAGGAATAAATTTGAAAGGTTGGAGGACAGAAGGAGGCCACTGGGGTGGAGTAGGGTGGGGGACAGAGAGAAATAGGAGATTTGTCAGAGAAGTAGAGAGGCCTGGCACACAGGACTTTCTGTGGATTTATTCAGAATGGCATAGAGGCTGCTGGAAGGCTGTGGAAGGAGCGCTGGGGTTTGTCCCGGAGCAGGTTACTCTGGGTGTGGAGGAGAACATACAGCAGGGGGCAGTGGAGAGCCAGCTAGGCTGTCGCTGGGGTGAGCATAAGGGATGATGGTGGAGTCACTGTCACTTTGGGGAGGGCTTCACCTCTCTCAACCTCAGTATACCTAGCTGTAAAATGGGAATAACTACCTACCTTTCTGGACACCTGTGAGGAGTAAAGGGGATGTACATGTAAAGCCCTTAGCACAGTGTCTGACGGATGGCAGAAAATGGTAGCAATTTTTGTCACTGGCCTGTTGGTCTATTTTCAGATATGGACAAACCCAAAAGTTAAAGCCTGGAATCATTTGGAGTTTTAACAAGTTTTACCCTCAAAAAATAGGAAAGAGGCATAGAGAGGGTCCCGGGTCACAGAATCCTGGCTGTCCCAAGGCTGAAAAGATGGGTGTGCCTGGGGTGGGCAGAGTGGCACTGGGGAGGAGAGAGCTGGGGGGAGAAAGACCCTACTGGAGACTGGGAGCTGGGACTCCCACTCCTGCAGGCTAGCTTCTTGTCAATTGCAGAGATGGGATATCGAAGCCCTTGGGGTAGGTTGTGTCAGCTTAGATTTAAACTTGGGTGCAGAGGGCCATCTGCTCCTTCCAGCCCTCGTGATCCTCCTCTTCCCTTGCCCTGATGCACAGCCCTCCAGCCTGAGATGCTAGAGGATAACGCTCCTTTTCCTCAACCTCCCCTGCTTCATCTCAACCCGGTTCCTGCTCGGCCTCTTCTAGACATGGGGCCACGGCCGTCTTTGGAAAGTTCATGAAGAGCCTCTGCTTTGTCCCTCTTGCCTATTTGTTCAGGCATCTCTTCTTCAGATCTGCGGGTGTCAGACTCCCTGCAGGCCTGGGGTGCCCAGAGGCAGGAGGTCTAGCCCCAGCCCTTGGGTGGACAGGCCCATCCGAAACATGAGGCTGGCAAGTCCTTTGAGAGGGCTGGTAAGGACTAAGGGAGCTCAGAACCCTCCTCCACAGCCAGGGAAGGGACGGTCGCAACTCAGACAATCCCCTGGGCCCCCAGCTCTCTCCCAGTGAAGTTGCTAACCACCCTCCAGGCTGTGGGGAGAGACGTCCTCTGCCATCCTGATCCCAGTTTTCCCCGTTTTCTCCTCCTACACTGGAAGAGGCCTTGGAGGTCTAATGCAAGTCTTGGCTGTGTTGCTAGTGAGAATAATGAAAATAAGATCTGCCAGCACGTGCTGAGCACCTGGTGTGTGTCGGCACTGTGCTAGGTGCTTTTCATTCCTTATCCCATTTCACCCTGATGAGCACTCTGAGCTGGGCATGA